CTGAAATATTTACTATCTAGCCCTTTACACAAAAAGTACACCCACCACCCCTAATCTAAAAGACAAAGAGGTACCAGGGGTTAAGAATCCGCCTGCCAATACAGGGGACACAGGTTTGAGCCCTGGTCCAGGAAGATCCCACATGCAGTGGAGCAACTAAGCCCGTGCGCCACAACTACTGAGCCTGCGCTCTAGAGCCCACAAGCCACAGCTACTGAGCCCTTGTGCCACAACTACTGAGCCCTCATGCCACAACTACTGAAGGCTGCACGCCTAGAGACCGTGCTCCACAACAGAAGCCACTGCAATGAGAAGCCCGCGCACCACAACAACGAGTAGCCCCCACTCACTGCAACTAGAGAAAGCTCGCGCACAGCAACGAAGACCCAACACAGCCAAAATATAAATAAATAAAAAATAAGTTAAAATAAATTTAAAAATAAAGACAAAGAACTCCTACTAATTAATATGAAAATGATAAATAAAATAATAAATGAGTATGAAAATATTAATAGGCAATTCACAGACTACAAATATGTGCAACATCATATATGAACTTTTCAAACAGTTCTAGGCAAAAGAAGCCAGATATAAAAAATACATACTGTAGGATTCCATTTATATGAAGGGCAAGAACAAGTAAACCTGATGATAGAGGTCAGAACAGTAGTTATCTTTGGGGTTGGGAGAGGGCATCTAGGAGCCTTGTGGGATGCTGATTGTCTATATCTTGATCTGTGTACTGTTTTCACACATACACACATACACACACACACACACACATGCACACCCAATATGTAAGTTATGCAGTTTTCTGTAAGGTGTGCAACTTTTCTTTTCTAATCAACCCCATTGCATCAGATACCTTTAAATAAAAAAAACTAAAACTCTGGCAAAGATGAAAAAGTTTGATAATTCACTGTTTTGGTCAAGAGTGTAAGAAAATAGGCCCTTTCGTATGTTCCTGGTGAGATTGCAGATTGTCATAACTTTTACAGAGGTCAATTTGGTAACAACTTTCAAAATTACAAAAGCATGTATCTTTTGAGCAGCATTCAACCTCTAGAAACTTATCCTCAGATATGTTCATATATATGTAAAATAATATATGTACAGAGTCATAAATGCAGCACTTTTTTGTAATAGCAATGGCTATGCAGCCATCAAAGAACAAAGCAGTTAGTTTTTTAATAATATATATATTTGAATATACTATAATATACATAATATACTATAATGTAATATATTCTTCAAAATACATTGATAGTGTTAAGTGGAAAAACAAATAGCCCTGGATAGAGTGTATGATGACAAGCTTTATGTAAAAATTAAAATGTACAAAGTTAGCAAAGGAATCAATTAAATTTGTAAATAGAGAATCCCTGTCGGGTTCCTTGCTGTAACTGAAACAGCTTTAGTGTTTTGCCATTTAAACTGATATTTAACTGACAAATAGTCATTATCAAGTTTCAAGGGTTTCCTTCCCTATCTAATTGAAAATTTTTATAAGGAATGGTTTTTGAATTTTATCAAGTATCTTTTTAACATCTATTGGCTTGATCATATTTTTTCCTTTAATTCACTGATGTTAAACATATTAATACATTTACAGATATTGACCCATCTTTGTATTCCTAGAATAAACCTTATTTGATTATTTAAAAAAAAATCAATCCGAAGTAGATAAAACTAAAATAGAATAGAACACGGTTAGATATTTTTATGATTGTTGACTATAAAACTTTAAATAATAGATATAATTAGAATAAAAAAGGAAAGTCTTCCTTCACATCATTATAATAACTTTGTTAATTTTTTTAAGACTTTTTTTTTTTTTTAATGTGGACCATTTTTAAAGCCTTTATTGAACTTCTTACAACACTGCCTCTGTTTTATGTTTTGGTTTTTTGGCCCCGAGGCATGTGGGATCCTAGTTCCCCAACCAGGGATCGAACCCACACCCCCTACATTGGAAGGCGAAGTCTCAACCACTGGACCACCAGGGAAGTCCCCAACTTTGTTAATTTTAAAACAATATTTTAAAAGAAATAAACCTAAGAATATAAACGCCAGCATGATTATAAATATATTTGGCAAAGTAGTAGGCCATTAGTTAAATTGGGGGGAAAACTGTATTCCTATATACCAGTGATAACTCAAAAACACCTAAGTTCAAAAGCAAGGAAAATGTATAATTAAATACTAAGTTCAATTTTAATATCAGTTGTATCTTACAACAAGAGATTTACTCAAAATAAATAATGAAATGATAAAGCGGATTAAATTAAAGGAAGATCTAAGTAAACTATATTTCTAGGTAGAATACTAAGTTCAGTTAAGGTACAAAATGACTGAAATGTGTTTATAAAGCGATTAGTACAGAGCCTAGCACCTATTAAATATTCAATAAATTTTAGTTCTCCCTGCACCTAATTTAATATAATGTTGTAATACAATATCAATTAAATCCCTCATGAATATTTTATAAAATTTCATACAAGGGAAAATAAAATTTATCTGAAAGAGCAAAGAGGACACAAATACTAAATAATACATGTTTTTTAATGAACACTAATAGATTTTCCAAGATTTTTAAAATATCATGAAAACCCTAAGATATTAAGTCAAATGTAGAAAAATTGTTCAAACAAAGTAGGTTCAACAGTAAAAGAACTTAATTATCCTCACACCATATACTATTTTAAAAGTCTGGTGAGTTAAAAAGTTAAACACGCAAAATTCTATTAAAAAGCTATGAAGAAGAATATTATAATATTCCATCTTTCTAAAGATAAAATCCTGACTAGCAAAGAAATTAAGGTCAAAAGTAAAATGGTTATATTTGAATTTTTAAAAAAAAATCTGTTACACAATAAATACCAAAAGGAAAGAAGGGAAATGGGAAACATTTGTATGACATTCATAACTTATAAAGAGATACTAATTAAAATATAGAGATAACTGATTGAAATATATAGTCAGTACACTAAAACCTCAAAATAAGTCATCAAATTAATTAAATCATTACGTAAGGATAAAATTTAAATTCTTTACCATGGCCTACAACGCCTTACAAGATCTAGTGCTGCCTACCTCTCCAGTCTCATTAGCGCTTTCTCCCCTGGTACACCATCCTTCAACCACCCTGACCTTTTTCCAGTTCCAAGAACATACCAAACACTTTCCCTTGGAAACATGAAGATCTCTTCCTCCTTAGGGCCTTTGCAGATGCTGCTGGTTACCTGCTGGAAGCTCTTTTCCTCATTCTTCACGTGGTTAACTCTTCAGTCTTCAAGTCTCAGATCTACCCTACATGATACCCTACCTAAAGTGAATCCCCCTTATAGTGTTCTATTTCAGCTCCCTGTTGTCTTCCTTAGAGTACTTATGACCTTTTGTAGTTATTTTGTTCATTTGCTTTTGTCAATCTCCCTCATTAGACTATTGAATCATGTAAATCTCATTCACCCCATATTCCCAAATACAGTGTCTGACAACAAATGCGTTCAATAAATATTTGTTGAATAAATAAAAACTGAAAACCCAAGTATCAAATAATAATGAAATTACTAAATTATGATATAATATATTAAAACAAGGAAATGCTATATAACTATATATAACTATTCAAATTGACAAGTATGGAAGTAGTAAAAGAAAATGTCTATATGAAATAATGGTGAATGAAGAAGCAGATCAGGATGCACATATATCATACAACTATGTAAGGCAACTATATATACATCCAACTTAAAATGACTAGAAAATAACTCATAGTGACAAAAAGGTTGTAACAATTAGCAGGCTTTTTGTAAAGAAAGCAGGTTGCTAACAATAATATTGTATAAAGTCAGTATTGTGGAAGAGTGCTTACAAAATAACAGTAAGTGAGAAAACAGAGCATAGTATTGTATGTACACCATGACTATAGCTAGGCCAAATTAAATATAGATTGAAAGAGGATACTGAAATAAAAATACCTATTGCATCAAGGTGAGAAACATGCATAAAATTTGTTTTTTAAATTTTCTTTTAAGGTTGTTGGTCTTTTAAAAATAATACTTATAATGGCAGATAGTCATGAATGAATAAATAAATAAATCTCATTATCTCAACACCCAATTAATAAAGGAGTAACATTTTAGGTAAATATCTTTAGTCTTTTTTTCTAGTATATATAAGCAAAAATATCTGTAAAATAAAATTAGAACTACACTATACATTTATTTATTTATTTATTTATTTTTTGTGGTAAGCGGGCCTCTCACTGTTGTGGCCTCTCCCATTGCGGAGCACAGGCTCCGGACGCGCAGGCTCAGCGGCCATGGCTCACGGGCCTCGCCGCTCCAGGGCATGTGGGATCTTCCCAGACCGGGGCACGAACCCGTGTCCCCTGCCTCGGCAGGCGGACTCTCAACCACTGCGCCACCAGGGAAGCCCTATACATTTATTTTTAACGTGCTTTTTTTCATTTAGTAATATAAACGTTTTCCCAGTCTATATGGCTTGGTAATAAACTTTCAAAAACATTTTAAACAACAAGGTAATATTAGTAGTGGAGAGACACACTGGTGGACTGAGCACAGCAGAAGGAGTAGATCCAGAGCTCAGATCCATACCAACGTGCAAGTGTTTAAGCCAAACACTAAGCATCTCTAAGGATCAACTACTACATCCATAAAACAGAGCAATACTGAAAGAGGGTGAAGCTGATGCTTCTTGACAGCTATTTTAAAGAGTAAATAAACAATGTAGGAGGGACTTCCCTGGTGGTCCAGTGGTTAAGACTTCGGGCTTCCACTGCAGGGGGCACAGGTTCGATCCCTGGTTGGGGAACTAAGGTCCCGCACGCCGCGCGGCACGGCCAAATAAAATAAAATAAAGTTAAAAATAAGCAGTGTAGGAGAGGGAAGGCATGAAATATACTGACCAAACTGACAAATGCTAACTCCCAGAACAGTCTCCCAAGCAATCCATCAGACCAATAACATAAAACTCACACCATATCCCCAGGAGAAGTCCGAGCTGCCTTCAGTAGAGATCCCTGTGCCTGTATAACTTGGAAAAGCAGACCTTGAATTCCCAGTGTCAGCTGATGTAAAAGGTGATTCTTGTGTGATGTCAGACTCACTAAATGCACAATTTGGAAGGAGAAGAGAAAACAGAAAAATTCTTATATTTCCTCAAGTTTCTGCAGCATTAACTACTCAGCAATCTATTAGGTGATAAGCATGTGTAGAAATATATCCACAGAGGTAAAAATAAATGAAGGACTTGAAATGTAAGCATCATAGTAAAGTCGGATCTAATTCCTACAGAATTGATGGCAGCCATTCTAAATAATTCTAGTCTTAGTTTACAATGAATACTTTAACATTCCACTTATAATATCTACCCTTGAGAACTAAAGACATTTCAGAAACGTCTAGGAATTCACATAGAATAGTATGTGAACTTGTATGGCACTTTTAGTTTACCAAGCACTTTCACAGATATTAACCCCATTTTATCCTCACAACAACCTGGTGATGCAGAACTCAACCCCTTTTTTAAGACAAAGAATCTGAGATTTAGTACTAGGTGTTGAAACTAGGTTTTATGACTGTAATTATTCTATGATACCACATTGCTTCTCAGAACCCTCTGTGAAGTTACCGTATCCTCTATTTCTTAAAATAATAACTGCAGCTAATATTTACTCAGCATTTACTGTATTTTATCTCATTTATATTCAGAACACCCTTTAAGAGATACTCTTACCAGGTAAGTAACTTGCCCACTATTATTCAGCTAATAGATGACAAAACCAGGATTAAAAATCAGATCTGTTTGGGTTCCTCCTGAGTCTCTGTTTTTAACTACTTCATAATACTGCTTTTCAAAGGTTATAAAAATAAGTGTGTTTCCATTAGCTGTTCCAGAATGAAAGTTGAATGGTATTGAAAAAGTGTGATAAAAATTCTTGTTTTCTTTCATTAGTACAAGGCTTGATACCAATCCTAAGGCAAAAAAACAAAACTTTTGCCATTATCAAGTGCAATAAGCAAACAAGTACAATTTTTGTTATTACCTTTGGGAACTTATGTCGTTTTCATGGCTGTCATTGGTAGAGGAAATTGCATCCAGCTGCTCTGGAAGGGGATGATGATTAAGAGGATGTTTTGTTATTCCTTTCCTGTGAAAGAGAAAAACAAAGTTATATTTCCTGTAAAGAAAAAATATATACTTTTCAGTAACTTGATCTACAAGTTCGTCACCTACTTCTTGCTGTTCTGGAACTGCACTGTACAATACAGTAGCCATTAATCACTAGCAGTTAAAATGTGGTCAGTTGGAAATGAGATGCACTTTAAGTGTAAAACACATAGGATTTCGAAGTCTTAGTACAACAAGAATGTACAATGTATCATTAATTATTTTATCTTGATTACATGTTAAAATGATAATATTCTGGATATATTTGGGTTAAACAAAATATATTCTTAAAATTAATTTCACTGCAAATTGAAAATATAATAAGGTATAACCACACACCTATTAGAACAGCTAAGATAAAATATGGTGATAACACTAAACGCAGATAAGGATATGGAGAAACTGGATTTCTCATACATTGCTGGTAGGAATGTAAAATGGTGCAGCCACTCTGGAATAATTTCAGTTTCTTATAAAACTAAACACATGTGTTTATCATGAGACCTAGCCATTGCACTCTTGGGCATTGATCCCAGAGAAATGAAAATTTATGTTCACACAAAAATCTGTACACAAACGTTCACAGCAGCTTTATTTACAATTGAAAAAGGTTGGAACAACTGAAATGTTCTTTGACAGCTGAATAGTTAAACTTTGGTATATCTACACAATGGAATATAATTTAGCATAAAAAAGGAGTGAACTGATACATGCAACAACTTGGATGGATTTCAAGGGCATCATACTTTGTGAAAAAAGCCAATCTCAAAAGGTTACATATACTATATGATTCCATTTATATTACATTCACAAATGACAAAACTATAGAGGTGGAGAAAAGATTAGTGGTTCCAGGGTGTGAAGAAAGGAATGGATGTGACTGTAAAGGCATATATAAGGATGTTTCCTGGTGGTGATGGAACAGCTCTGTATCTCTATTGTATTGGTAGTTACATATATCAATAAATGAGACCAAATTGCATAGAACTATATATACATATATACAAAGGAGTGGATATAAAAACTGATGAAAACTGAATAAGGTTTATAGTCTAGTTAACAGTACTGTACCAATGTCAGTTTCCTGGCTTTGAAATTATATGATAGTTACGTAAATTGTCATCATTGGGGGAATCTGGGTGAAGGGTTCATGGGACTTTGTACTATTTTTGTAACTTCCTGTGAGTCCATAATTATTTCAAAATAAAAAGGTAAAAAAGTTAATTTCACCTGTTTCTACTATTTTTTTAATGTGACTACCTGAAAAATTTAAATTATATATGTGTTTTGTATTATATTTCTATAGGACAGTACTGTTCTAGAGAGTTCAACATGTGCATTAGAATAAACTATGGGGTCAATTATTATATGTTCCAGTCCTAATCATCCACGATAGACTTTCCTTCCCCACAAAATTCTGTAGTCAAATAACATGATAGGTTAAACAAAGTTACACAGGTTTCTTTACAAGAGGTCTTCCCAGGGCTTTTAATATGCAAATGTATATTATAAATCTAATACTCTTGTTTCACAGGAAAGGAAAGTGAGGCACAGAGGGATTAAGTAACCTGCTTAAGGTCATATGGCTAGTAAGTAATGGAGCCAGGATTCAAATCCAAGTAGTTTGTTTGAGGCTTCTCAGAGCAAATGAATAGTTTGAGATTTTAGTAAATTGTACCATTTTTGTACATAAAGACCTAGTCAGCAGAGCTTGTACTTTAAACTATTTCTCAAATGGTGGGCATGGATTTGTGTAGAGCTATTTGTACTTCTCTCATTCAATGATTTTACAACCAAAAGCTTGTCTTTGAGACAGTGGCGGGGATCAGAAATGTGGATTCCAGCTATGAAATAGAAACTTAAAACATATTTTAGTCTGTCAGAGAAATTTGGTTATCAAGTGACAATTAGATAATACCAAAGAAATATTAAATTTGATCATAGCTTTGTGGTTACATAAGAAAATGTGTATAATTTTTAGAAATGCATATTGAAGTATATGGGGTGAAATGATAGTGTCTGGGGTTTTCCTTCCTTATTTCACAGATGACAGACAGGCTGAAAAAAATATATAGATGAAAGATGAAGCAAATATATTAAAATTTTGATAACTGTTTAATGTAGGTGATGGGTAGGTCATTATATTATTCACTATACATTTATGCTTGAGATTTACCATTTTTAAAATGTTAAGCTGTATATTTTATCCCAACCTCTTTTCAGTATCTATAATTTGGAACTATTAGGGAGAAAACTAAAATTACTTCTTCAAAGCAAATTATCATTATAACACCTAAAGTAAAAATTACTTTTAATATACTGTTAGTTAGGGCTTCCCTGGTGGCGCAGTAGTTGAGAGTCCGCCTGCCGATGCAGGGGACACGGGTTCGTGCCCCGGTCAGCGGAAGATCCCACATGCCGCGAAGCGGCTGGGCCCGTGAGCCATGGCCGCTGAGCCTGCGTGTCCGGAGCCTGTGCTCCGCAACAGGAGAGGCCACAACAGTGAGAGGCCCGTGTATTGAGAAAAAGAAAAAAAAAAGAAAAAAAAAAAATATATATATACTGTTATTTAGATGCATATAATCTTCATTATCATCATTATTCACGTTATTCTGACACTTCTAGAGAATCATCTTTTGGGAGAGTTATCTTTAGGGAGTATCAAGTCAACAATAGAGAACAAGTAACATAACCATACTGGGTCAATAATTCTGGCCCAATAAGTGCTATCAACAATTTTTTCCATAAATGATATTTTTTTCACTCTCAGAATGGTCAGAATTAATTATAAAAGCAGATTTTTGCCTAAGCCCTGTTCCCTTTATTGGTAAATGACTTTCTTCTTCCTATTTGCTAAAAAAGCCTATTAACTGAACTGCTTCTGTGTCCTATCCTATTATTTAGTAGATAATAAGCTTCTGAAAGGCAAGGAAAGATCATAGACTGATTTTGTTTGTATGGCTATTGTACCAAGCAAAGATGGGAAGGGACAAGGAAATTACCATTTACCGAGGACCTACTATGTGTCAAGCCCTATGCCATCACTTTAGATATGCTTTTAGATAAGGTCTTATTCCTATATTACAGAAATGAAGGCTCAAAGATTTAGTAATTTGCCTAAAATTAACAAGGCTACAGAAGAGTCTAAACAGAAACCCAGATGTGACTGAAGATACCATGCCTGTTAATTGCCCTGTATAGTTAATATTTAATTAATAAATGTATGGTTGCTAAAATTACATAGTTTAGTGGAGGAAAAATATTGGTATTTGGGGTTGAAAAACCCAAGCTCAAAACCTATTGGTTATATAATCTTAAGATGTGTACCTTTCTGATATTTTCATCTGCTGAAAAACTAAAGATAATCATACCCATCTTACAGAGTTAAGAGAATCAAAATGTGAAAATCTTTTTGAAAGTGTAAAGCATTAATAAATGAATGACATTATCATTACTTCCTACATTATAACACTTCACTAGGGGTGGGAGGTGGGTCTTTAAGCGGGAAATATTTGCTGTCTAAAGTCTCAAAAGCAAAACTGATCCTTAAGGATTCTGACACTAAATTGCAGAGGTGCAGAGGCAGTATGTGTAATGGTTATGACCACAAGCTTCAAAAACAGATTGACAACAGGTTCGTACTTCAGCTCCACCACCACCCTCTAGCTGTGTGATCTTTGGCATGCTACAGTCTTTAAGTCTGGGATCTTTATCTGTAGAAAGGGCAAAATAATACTTCCTATCTGGTCTCCTTATTGACACGATTAAGTGAGCTAATGCATGCATGTAAGCAGCTTTGCACTGTGCTTGGCACTAGACGTATTCAACTTCATTGTAGCACTCAGCTATTAATAGCTTCACGAGTTGTCAATGGTCATTGACACTGGGGCACGAAGCACTGCGGAAACTACAAAATGCCTTAGGAAACCCAGTCCCCGAGCTCAAGAAGTGCAACCCAAGGGGGCCAAGTCCTGGGACAGCACAGGTAACACGCCCTTAGCTGGAGATGGAGGTAGAAGGGGCAACGTCCGGCAAGGCTGGGAGGAGAGAATTCCGAAGAAAATTTTCTTTCCCTCGCCCTGGGAAAGGAAAAAGGAGCAAGGGACTGGTCAGGGAGGGTCCGCAAAGCGCCTGCGGCCCGCCTCGGTCTGGGCCGGGCTGGGGTGGCTGAGCAGTCCACTCACAGCTCCAAGTTCTGTGGCACCGCCTTCCGAGTGTATCTGGAGATCATCCTCCTCTTCCTCCTCAGCCGCGGCCGGGGCGGGCAAGCCAGGTTGGGGGCCTCTGGCCTGGCCCTCCCGCCGGCTCCGGTTCGGCTCCCTCCCGCCACCTTCCGGCCCCGTCACGCCCCGTCTCTTAGACTCCGGGCCGTCACTCCCACAGGATCCCCACCTCCCTAGTCTTCCGCCCTCCTTGCTTCCCCGTGGAGCCGGAAGTGACGAAGGCACACGGGCACCCACCTAATGCTCTCGCCGACGCGCAACAGGGGCGACGCCCGGGGTTCCGAGGCTGAGCCGGTTTCTGACTTTCAGAGTTTCTGCTGTCTTCTGGTCCCAGACGAGCGTGTGGACCCAGTCTGAGCCAGGCTTTGGCTGCTACTGGCAGCTCCCGACCAGCTCACGTGATAGGAGAGGCGGCTGAGGAAAGGTGCCACAGCAGAGACTTGCCGGAGAGGCCCAGGCCCTAGAACCGTAAGCGGAATTGGCTTCATTTTGTTGGATGAAGGAGAGTGCCTAGTCTGAGTAAAAAGCTCTAGACTCCCAAGTCAGGCCTCTGCTGCTTGGTTGCTTCTCTTGCTGTGCTCCCGGTTTTCTCATATGTACAGTGTGGAATTAGCCTGAGTGGTCTCAAAGACCCTTCTAGTGTTTTCTCATATGTACAGTGTGGAGTCAGCCTGAGTGATCTCAAAGCCCCTTATAGTCCTCGGGTGGGTAGTTAGCATCTGTCTACCAGGGTTAAAAGGCCAAATGATGATTTGAACAGAAAGTAGCGAATGAGTGTCTGGATAGAAGATGCAAGTTCCTCTCGACCTCGTTTTACTACTCCTTTAGAAAAACAAGTCTAAAAATCGAATTGCAGCCGTAAAGTGGATAATCCAAAACAGTGTCTTCCTTTACCAAGCCTCACCTGGAAGCAATAGTGAGCTAGTACTTTTGTTTGTAAGGGGAACCCTTAGAAAATAATTATTTACCACCTCCTAATATACCAGAGCTATACCCTTTGAGACCTGAGAAGGGGAAAAATTTAGGATAGATAGTTGTAGGATCAAGAGCCATGGGCAGATTATTTGGGGGTGAAATGATAGGGCATGAATGTTTTGTAGTTTTGAATTCCTCTATGCCATACAACGGGAGAGATTTAATTCTGCAGAGTAAGGGAGATTGCTTTTCAGAAAATTTAAATAATAGAAATTTAAACGAGGTACGGATTATAGAGACGAAACAGTAACAGCCTTAATCTACAATTAAGGAAAAAGCCCCAGGAAGAAAGTGAAATGCCCAGAATAACACAACTGGGACTACTGGTAGAACTGGGACTTGTGATAGTGTTTCAAAAGATGTTATTTCAGTGTTTCTAAAAGTGTGTTATACACACCACTGCTAGTGCAAGGGCAAACAGTTTTTATTTTATTCTTACATACTTATTAGTTTGGGAATGTGGTATTGGATTTCCATTTATTGTATTATATCAAAAGTTCCTTTAATGTAATCGTAAGTATAACAATGTCATTAAAAGTATGTTAAATAAATGTTATTATAGTTGGTATGTGGTCAAGGCAAAAATCATGACGATGGTATGTGGATAACTGAATTTTGGGAAACAACATTAATGGAATTGCCTAGCATAGTTCAGGGAATGGGATATTACTTCTACATTATTCTATACGGTTTATATTATTGAAACTTTAAATGTAGCTTTCAAAGAAGAATGGAGGAAAATATGAAGTTTGCTACAGTGGAAGACACTGTAGAATACCACCTGTTCCTGATACCAGATGAACCAAGGGACCCAGAAGAACACAGAGAGATTCTTCAAAAGTACATTGAGAAGATAATGACCCAGTTTGCACCTATGCTGGTCCCCTATATCTGGCAGAATCAGCCTTTCAATCTCAAATATAAACCTGGGAAAGGTAAGGCTCTTTTGCTTATTTTGCTTTGATATGTGTGACTTTTAATGTCATTCTGGCAACAGTGATGTATAATAGTCCATAGTTCATTCAGTGTTAGGAGATTTTTTTTAAATTAATTAATTAATTTATTTTTGGCTGTGTTGGGTCTTTGTTGTTGCGTGTGGGCTTTCTCTAGTTGCAGCGAGCGGGGGCTACTGTTTATTGAGGTGTGCGGGCTTCTCATTGCGGTGGCTTCTCGTTGTGGAGCATGGGCTCTAGGTGCGTGGGCTTCGGTAGCTGTGGCATGCGGGCTCAGTAGTTGTGGCTTCTGGGCTCTGGAGTGCAAGCTCAGTAGTTGTGGCGCACAGGCTTAGTTGCTCCACGGCATGTGGGATCTTCCCAGACCAGGAATTGAACCTGTGTCCCCTGCATTGGCAGGCGGATTTTTAACCACTGCGCCACCAGGGAAACCCTGTCAGGAGATTTATATCCTGAGCTTTTTATGGTGTTTGCCTCTATTCAGTTAAGCCCTTGAACTTAAAAAAAAATTTTTTTAATTCATGTTGATGAATGCTTTCTAATACTCATTATCTTAGGAACTAATATATATTCAACATTATTAAGCCATGGCTCTTCTTTTGAACTTTAATTACTATGCCATAATGTATCTAGGTACCTATACTAAACAGGTTCAGGCATCTGGCTTCCTTAACCATAGTTCTTTTAGCTGTTACTCTGTATTCCTCAGTCTTGATAGTATGTTTACTAGGCTGCCTTTCACATAGTTGTTTTGGTAAGGATCTAAGAGTGGCTCTGCTTGGCTTATAAAGAGAAATAATTGAGCTAAATGACCATTATTTGCCACTTGGAAGCATTTTGAGGTTCCTTCACTGCTTCCCTGTATTGTCAGTGCTTGAGATCTGACCTCTGGCCAAATATGGTACTTTGTCCTGTCATTTCTTATAACTTTACTAAAATGAATCATGGATAGGTGACCAAGGCTCTACTCATGCAGTGACTTCTGTGGGGTCTTATTTCAGATCAGGAGCGTGGCATCTTGTGATACCATCATTCTGGCTCTCAATTTAGTGCTTATCTGTTTCCTTTTGGCTAGCAGTTGCCAAATGCAAAACGTTAATTTTATTAAACACCTATTCACTGAAACACGTGATATTTATTGGCAAGAACACTGTCCCATTAGCACAGTCAAAACCAATTCCCTACCTTTTTTCTAGAAAATCATTTTTACACAGTGTTTTCTTGTCTTGCTTAATGGGATTGCTAGCCACCTAGTTATCAAGCTTGTTAGTAATTCAGAATCATCCTCAACTCCTCACTTCACCATGTTCAGTCAGGCACTAAATCCTAGTGTGATTACTCCTAAAATATGACCCCTCTCTACATCTGTTTGGCTACAGTCTAGGCCCCCTTGATCTCTTCATCTGGAAGACTACAGTAGCCACCTAACTAACCTCTCTGGTTCCAGTGTCTGCAGTTCCTGACCCTGTTGCCAGTTACCTTTGTAAAACACGAATTTGATCATGTCACTCTCCTGCCTAACATCCTTCAGCAGTTCCTCATTGCTTCTGGATGAAATTCAAATTGAAGTTTAATATGTAAGGTAGATAAAAATAGACACGCTAACTGGAGCTTCTATACTTGATGAAACTTGGGAAATCTGGAGTAGGGAGAAGAGTTGGTTGGGCAGTTCTTCCCACCTGTTTGGGGATTCTTTTTGCCATGGTAGCTCTTGAGACACTCCGCACTACACTTGTTTGACCTTCATTCTGTTAATATGGTATATTACATTGGTTGGTTTTCTTGTGTCAAATCATCCTTACATTCCAGGAATAAATCCCACTGGGTCATGGTGTACAATCCTTTCAATGTGTTGTTGAATTCAGTTTGCTAGTGTTTTGTTGAGGATTTCTGCATCATTATTCATCAGGGGTATTGGTCTGTAGTTTTCTTGTATTGCCTTTGTCTGACTTTAGTATTAGGGTAATGCTGGCCTCATAAAATGAGTTTGGGAATGTTTCCTCCTCTTCAGTTTTTTGGTAAGAGTTTGAGGAGGATTGATGTTAATTCTTCTTTAAATGTGTGGTAGAATTCTCCAGTGAAGTCATCTAGTCCTGGGCTTTTCTTTGTGCAGAAGTTTCTGATTACTAATTCAATTTCCTTACTAGTTATAGATCTGTTCAGATTTTCTATTTCTGCACAATCCAGTCTTGATAATTTGTGTGTTTCCAGGAATTTATGCATTTCTTCTAAGTTATCCAGTTTGCTGATGTACAATTGTTCATGGTATTCTCTTACAGTCCTCTTTATTTCTGTGGCATAGGTTGTAATATCCCCTCTTTCATTTCTGATTTTAGTTATTTGAGTCTTTTCTCTTTTTTCTTAGTTAATCTAACTAAAGTTTTGTCAATTTTGTTGATCTTTTAAACAAACCAACTCTGTTTAATTGATTTTTTAAATATTGTTTTTCTATTCTCTATTTCATTTATCTCTGCTCTAATCTTCATTATTTCCTTCCTTTAGCTTTGAGTTTAGTTTTCTCTTCTTTTTCTAGTTTCTTAAGGTATAAAGTTAGGTTGTTGATTTGACATCTTTTATAACTATAAGCTTCCTCTTAGCACTGCTTTCACTGCATCGCATCTTTGTGGCATGTTGTGTTTTTGTTTTCATTTGTCTCAAGATATTGTCTAATTTCCCTTGTGATTTCTTCTTTGACCCATTGGCTGTCTGAGTGTCTTGTTTAAGTTCTACATATTTTTGGATAATGCAGTTGTTTGAAAATTTCTGCTGATATTCCCAGAACCACGCTATTGTCTGTCATGCCTCTGTGTTTTTGCACATGCACATGTTCTCTCTTTCTGGAAAGCCTACTTCTGGTCATTCCTCCAGATGAGTGTAGCTCCGATATCACATATTTATGCTCACATAGCCCTCAGTGTATACCTCTGTTCATCATCTTGTTTTGTGATGCTTGGTTGTCTATCTCCTGTTGTCTAGACCCTAAGCTCCTCAAGAATAAGCTTCTTGTATCTTGTTCATGATTGCAACCCCAGCTCCCAGTATAGTACCTGGAGCATAGCCAGTCAATAAATGTTTGTTTAATTGAATGATTACTTGTACTTTTATTTGCACTGGTATATTTATTTGGTTATATGATTGCTTTTCTCTTGTTTTTAGGAGGTGTTCCTGCTCATATATTTGGCATGACAAAGTTTGGAGAT